TATAAGAAGTCGAGCTGATTATCAGCTCAGCTGATCTCAACGTTCGCCAACATCAGCTGACAGCCTTGCCGATGCTCTTCCATACATTTAACTGGCAAATCTCACTTAGGACACACTATTAAAGCTGTTTTAGCCTGCCCACGTTTGCCTCATTCCCCAATGTTTACACCTGCAAGGCGCTTTGCAACCCGCCTGCACCCCATCGCTTCGTCTTGTGCTGTACCTGACTTATTAAATGTCCCATCTATAGTCACTGATGCATGACTCTGTTTTGTGTTGCTCACTTCCAGCTTAGTACATTCATTCACTCATGGGAGTGAGATGCCAGAACACAGCTGATGGAAATAAAGATCCAGAGTCCTAACTGAACTGCAGTTCAGTTAGCACATTATCAACGCCGTATTGCTCTTTTGTTTAAAATAACACAGGCGGACTCGTTCTCCACCTCATAAACAGTTACTTGCACTTTCTCCACTCTTTCGCTTTCATCACCGACGGTATTTTCTCAACTGTCAACGTCAAAAGAGGAGCTTGTTTAAAGTAAATGATTAGTTGAGCAAACATAAAAGCTGCATTGAGACATGATCGCAATCTAAATGGAAAAAGAAGATGAGGGAAAGGAAGAAGTGATGTACTCATCTGGATATTCTCAGTGACTTTTTACCCCAGAAAAGAAAAGTAATACAGATGCAGACACCTTTTTATACTCCTGGCTGCTCCCAGCTTGCCATTCTTGCAAAGCCAATTTAGATTATAGTTTTCATGTGGAAAAGCAAGCTGCTTCTATTAATTTTCTCCAAATTAGACTGAAATGCACATAGACACTCTGTGCAGCAGTGTCATTATGGCTTTACTAATTCATATTGACTAACACACCACCAATCTGCCTCTTGTCTTACCAGATAGTATCTTAGTGACACATGTGTAGCATCTTAATGATCGTCTCCTCTTATAAAACACAATGAGGCCGATGCAGGTTGCTAGACACCGGTTGGCACCAACAGACATTGATTACAAGTGTCTTTGGCGTTCGACGTTGGAATTACTGCAGCACAGCCGGCGCAGATGAAATGAATGACAGTGGTGTGGAGTATGTACATTCATTATTTCAGGCTCTTCACATTCCCCATCTAAGACCAGGTATTTCCATGTACTGATTAAAGGTGAGATGAGCATGTTTAACGGGGTGTCTTGTCACGCTGGCTGTGCTAGGCTCTGTATGCCCTCAGCACCTCTCTGGCTCCTCTCTTGAAGTGTAAATGGGCTCACACTGCTCTCTCCCATCCCCCTTCTTCTCTTTTCCCCCTTTTCCCTTTCCTCTGCCACTCCTGTCACTCACAGAGATATGAGACTTTCATACGATGCGCACAGCAGTGATTTAAAAACTCGTGGGAGAAAATCAGATCTTCTATAGAAAAGCATCATTGCTGCTGCAGGCTATAAAAGTTACACTGTGTGAGTGTCTTAAACGTAAACAGAAGGTGACTTGTCTACCCTTTACTTGACCTGAGGTTTGAAGTCTGTGGCTCTAGACCGGTAGATCATCCAGAATACTCGAGTTTCTCTGTGGTCAGACAACATGTGTTCACAAAATGAGTTTCAAGCGGAGTAATTCAGTTTTCCAGTTGCCATTCAATCACCTGCCCTATGTTCGCGGCACCACTGAACAGCAGAGGCACTTCAGAGCAGGTCAAAAAGAGGTGAAAACGGTGGCTAAGGGATTAAGAGCTGAATGCAAGAGTGGACATGGACACCTACACAAACATGTATCACTAGTCATTCCAGCCCTTTAGGTATTCATCGTAAGCCACAACATTAAAACCACCTGTCTGATCTTGTGTAGCTCTGCCTCGTGGCGTCAAAGCAACACGGTCCCCTCAGAGCATGGACGTGGGACTTCTGGGGAAGTCCTGTGCCGTCTGGCATCAGGATATTTGTAGTCGAGTCTTTCTTCGCCTTTCTGTCGCCAGCGACTTCATCATCTTGTTTATGTCTGTCTTTTCGCACAAATGTTTCTGTTATGCTTCCCTTTCTTGGTAAAGGAGATATTTTGCTTTCTTTTTCAAAGTTATTTGATGTTTCTGAAACCAGTGGGCAGTTTTGCCTGCCACTTCAAGTTTCTGCCCTTTTTATTGCTTTGTTTCTGCAGCACAGACGGTTCATGAAGAGTCATATTTCATTAGTTTAAAAAACAAAGGTGTTATCGAGCGCTTGCTTTTTTTTATTGTTCAAGTTGGTGGGAAAGCTGTCAATCAGGCTCTGGTGTCAAATAAACAACCACTCTCTCCTTTCCAGGATGTCCACATACACATATACCATAGATGTGAGAGCAAATTGATCTGCCAGTCTGCATTCTGTGTAAGCAATCTATGTGCAGCGCTGTGGAAATATTTCAGGCAGAGAGGCATTGGTTAAGTCACACACTCATTGTGCAGCATGATAAACGTGCACTGATCAGCCATTAAAACCTCCTCTATTGTTTAGATGCATCGAAACAGCACTGACCTTTTTGGGCATGGATTCAGGACCTCTGAGTCTAGCTCATTGGTAGCAGATCCTCGAGGTCCGCTGGGTTAAGAGCTCTTATTGGATTGGGCATCCCACAGATGCTTGAACAGATTGGGATATGAGCCCTCAACTTTTCAAAATATTACCTGATGGAGGTGCATGTGAGAATGCAAATGTCCCACACAGTGGGTTCTGGTTTGCACAGATTGTGAGAACAGCACAGATAATACCCTGGTGAATGCACAGCTAGCGAGCCCTATGTGCTACCTTGTGGATGCTCTGCACAGGAAGATCGCTACTCTAAACCAAACTGAATATTTCCAGCATCGAGAACATGGCTGGCACGAGCGATCTCCATGTGTACTGCATGTGAGAGAAGACGGCATCTTCCCAAGTACTCCCAACTTTTTCCAGAGTTTATGTGTGAAAACGATTTTTGTAATACTCCCAAAATGTTCCCACCACCTTTTTTTTTTTTAAATGCAGTGGAGCGCATTGCTCTACTGAGGCTGGAGGAAGCCACTGCAATTGTCATGAGTCTGCAACCATGTAAAGCATTAAAGTAAAATCCACATGAATTCAGTGACGCATTTTAATGACCAGTGTTATTCTAATGTTGATATTGTTGCACCTGATCGCTAATTTTTCTTTTTCTTCTCTCTTTTACTGGGAAGCGAAACATATATGCTTTTGAAAAGTCATCCATTGTGTTTCCCACATGTCTGTTGCCACTTGTTGCCACTTAAGTAAAGCAAGAAAGGAAGTGTGTTGCTAAGTGAAAGAAAGGGTTATGTTTTTTTCTTAAAGACAAACGATGGAACATTCTTGAAAAGTGCTCTGTCCTTGAACCCATCAATGCTCAGCATTTGAATAGCATTTAAAAGGAGATAGAGTTTTTGCGGTGGCGGGGAATGAAAATGAATAATGAGACTTGCTTGAATCAATGAATTAACCTTAAGTTTTTAAGAGTTATTTTAGGTGCTTCATTTATTTGATAGCACCGTCTTAACCTGCTTCACAGAGCTTCTTTTTTTTAATTCTTCTTCCTGCTAAGTGTTGGAAAGATATAATAAAGGGTGAAAAGGAGTTTAAAAGGCCTCCTTTGATACATTGAGCCATTGTTACCTCTTGCCAGGTGGTAATGTTTAGTCCTGATGAGGAGTCAAAGGTGGAATAATATCACATTATGTAAATCTAATGTGACAGAGACGAGGTGATTATGGTTAGACTGATGATCATTGTCCAGAATGGCTTCTAAAACCTTTGTCCTCCGCTCCCCTTAAATAGCGAAGGACAGCTTTGTGTATGATACCCCTAGATTAAACTTTAATGATCCCTGTGGGGGAAATGGGATAACTGCAGCAGCAAGTAGTAGCACAGCTAAATAAAGAAAAATGGAAAAAATACAACACAGTAAAGAAATTTGCACTTCAAGGTTTATACAGACACAAAGGACATCTGTTAGGTGAATAAATTAATGATATATGGACATGGCAGCATGATTACGGTACTGTTAGACTCCAGGTACAAAAAAATATGACTCCCTCAAGCAGCATGCAGTCTCGAAAAACAAAGTACGCTCTCTTTTAATCCTAAGGTGGTAAATTTCAGCAGATAATAAACTCATCGGGTCCTTATCAGCTTCTAAAGTTACTTAAATACAACCTCAGATGTAGAACAATATATGATATATTGTTTATTTATTTTAACAAAAATAAGCTAAAATGCTAAACATTTTGGTTTCTGCAAAATGTTTCTGCATTTTGGTAATAACTATAACCACAATAACATGAATGAATATTGAATGAATAATGTGAGAGACTTTATCAGTCTCTCACATTGTTGTGGAGGAATTTTGATTCACTCTTCTTTACAGCATTGATTCAGTTCATCAAAGTTTGCAGACTGTTGTTTATGCACAGCTCTCTTAAGGTCCCACCACAGGGTTTCAGTCAGCTTGAAGTCTGGAAGAGTTCATTGTCGACTCACTGACAGCTGGTTTGAGGTGTTTGTGCTGATATTCGGTGTTTGGTTTTCTCCAAATGTGGCACAGTGCAATGTGGCCTAACAACGGTCTTGCCTATCCACAGGACATTGTTTCAGAAGTCTTGTGGTTTCTGCAGATGCAGCTTTGCAAACTTTAGCTGAGCAGCCGTGTTATTTTTAGAGAGAAGAGGGTTTTCTCCTGGCAGCTCTACCAACCAAGCCATACTTGCCTTTTTCTAATTGAGTTGTCATGAACTTTAACTTTTAATGCTAACTCAGATGTCGCTTTGAGGTTTTTGCAGGTCACCTGTCTGACCTTGGGTGAATTTGCTGGCACTCCCACTCCTGGGAAGACTAGCAGCTGTCTTGAGTTTTTTCCACTTGTGAATAATCATTCTTACTGTAGAATGATGGACTTAAAATTATGGGGGAATGCCCTTTAGACCCTTCCTAGTTTAATGGTCAACAGCTTCTCCCAGGTCACTGCTGATGTCTTTCCTCCTTGGCATTTTGCTAACACACACCTGAACTTTACAGACCAACAGACTGCCAAAAATCTTACACTTGCTTAATCAAGTGGACTGGATTAGCAGCACTTGGCTGTTTCTCATCCTCTTAATTCCTGGGGAATCAGTAAGGGTGTACTTAGTTTTTTCATGCTTCTGCATTTTGCTGGGGTGGGGATTTGTTTGGTTTTTTCAATATATAATGGCATGGCATAATATGTCATCATCTGTTTGTCTGAGCCTGTAGTAACCTTGTATCAACTTTGAATCAATTAATTTACATTGTGTCCTGATGCACGAGCCTTAGAATTTAAAGAGGGCGTACTTTCTTTTCAAATGACTGCAAGTAAAGTTTATCAAGTTGATGCACAGAACTGTCCATAATTTGCTGGCAGTCACACATGTATCAACTCCATTGTCCTTAACCCTGAACACAACACAGTTGTGTTTGCAGATTTGTTTGTTTTTAAGGAAGTTTAATCACAGCCGAAAAGAATCGTTGGCCAAAGTCCCAACCACAAGAGTTCATTTCAACTAGCAACCTTTTAAAATCCTCGGCACCATCGCAAATCACACCACATAAAGTGTATTATTCTTATTCCAAGTGAGTTACCACAGTGAATTGTGTTCTCCACTCACCTCCTGTCAGACCACCTTGGTTGGAAGGAAGAAGAGGACTGCGTGTTTTGCCAGGGACTGATGGTGTCTTTGCCCTCACAGATGGTCACTGAATGGGACTCTCATAAATCTGGGTCTGGATCGTCGGCGGCGTCTGTCTGGGGGCAACCTCATTATAAGCAGCCTGGACCGCTACCAGGATGTAGGGATGTACCAGTGTATGGCCTACAACACAGTAGGAGCTATCCTCAGCAGAAGAGCAAGTCTCCAGTTTGCCTGTAAGTTACAGTCAGAGTTTTAACTACAAAAAAGCACGGGTGTGTAAATGCTCTTAACTACAAATAATGCAGACGTTCACTAAAATGGAAGCGCTTTATTTGCAGTATTTATCAGCACGCAGCAAGTTTAGTGGGCAGCCGCATTAAATGTTAACGTAACATGGGAAGAATCTGAGTGCGATGACGCAGCCTTACTTATGGTCATGCAGACTAAGAGTTGCTATTTCACTTTGTGTTGTTTGCTTCAATCAGAAGTCATTCCAGTTTCGTTGGATGCACTCTGGGGTAAAGTAGTCTACCAAATTGCACAAGTAGTGTTTGAAGAATAACTTAATAAGGACTGGAGCCTGAAGAATAAAAAAAAAAGAATAGAACACAGCATACCTGCTCTTTTATGAAAAAGAAGGAACAAAGCAAATGAATAAAAGCTGCAGTGCAAACTATACTACAATGCATTGCTACAAAAATAATAATTTAGGCAGTAAAAAAAATGTACTTTCACATCACGTTTCTGCTGGTGAAGCAGGTAAACAACTCAAATGAATAACCAAATGAATACTTATTACTTCTATACTATTCATTAAGGCTTCCTTTCATGCAGATCGCAACAAAGCGCCTTTTCACACCTTCACTCGGTGGTGGTATCTGGCCGTGCAGATGTTTTGGGTCTTTTTTGACAAGCTTTTAAGATATGGGGGGGTTCAGAAAAAATGGAATAATGACATTTTAATAACTTAACAACAATGACTTGACAATAATGACCAGATAATGGATAATCTAACCTCTCTGAAAAAAGTTTGAGTCATTTTATTAACCTTCAAAGGAGCCTCCAATGAAAAACTATAGTTCTTTTTATTTTTCAGATTCTCTTATCAATATTTGGATGCAGCACTAAAGAATAATAACAAGAAAAAAATATTACTAGGTATATATATATATACCTTAAGGTGTAGCTCAATAAAAAAAGTTTTCAGTCGTTTCAACTTTTTTCTTATAGTGTTATGAGCTCTTGCAGCATATCTCGTCATGGTATATTAATGTCTTGGTCCCCCTCAGGCAGTTTTGGGCAGCTATTTTGAAACCACTATAAAATGAATAGAGAGAGATCCAAAAGTTTATTCTTACAATGGACAGACTCTACCTTGTAAAGCACTGATTTAAGAAAAAACTGTAAAGGTTGAAGTATGAAGTTTATAAAGCCTCAAATTGTAATTCTGCTTGGCACATGCAAAGTTGCACAGCCTTACAGACTTCATCACGACTCAATTCAGAGTGCAGATGTAACGAATGGCTCTCGCTTCTCCCACCAGAGCCTTGAACATATGCCAGGCTAATTTACACGATTCACACAGAGGCTATGAACCGCCATGAACCTCTTCTGTGCACGAGCCGCAGTTCAGCAACATGATTGGCTCGCGTGTTTACCTGTTCGGCCATCTCTGCTGCTGCGGGATAGATTTCTATTTGAGATTCTGTGCTAAGTCAAGTCTTGTAATTTCAGCGCTTACACAAACATGTACATAAATTAAGTTAGTGGCGGGTTTTCACATCCAAGTTCCTTTTTTTCATAAAATGGCATATCGCTCATATCTCATTCAGGCCCTGGGTTCAGCAGTCTGTCTAAACTCTTCTGTTTCAGAGCCTCACTTGTCTCAGTTGCGTTTGTTCTCCCTCGGGCCTTGCAGAAGTGCAATTTTCATTACAGCTTTCTTATGGGTTTGTGTCAGTGTCTTGCAGAAAGCTTTTACTCAGCCTCTTTTCCACTCCCCTGATATGTGACATCCTACAGTAAGTTTCCTTTTCATTTTTTCCCCCCTGTCAGACTTAGATCATTTCAAAGTTCACACCAGAAGCGCAGTGTCCGTCCGAGAGGGACAAGGAGTGGTGTTGCTTTGTGGAACGCCCACTTCCTCAGGAGGTAAACTCTGCTGCTGTTTTGAGTCCTGCTGAAGTGTGATTAAAACATAATCTTGCTGCCACTGATTAGCCCCTTTTCTAATCACAGTTAATTCTCTTAATCACATTTAATATCAGAGAGCATCCAGGATCGTCTCATGCGCTTCCTTGTTTGCCTTCCAGACCTTACTTATGCATGGATCTTCAATGAGTACCCGTACTTCGTTCAGCAAGACAATCGGCGCTTCGTCTCCCAGCAGACAGGAAACCTTTACATTGCCAAGGTGGAGCCCTCTGATGTGGGCAACTACACGTGTGTAGTGATGAACAGCATCACAAAGGGCAAGGTTCAGAGCTCCCCCACGTCTCTGATCCTCAGGACAGATGGTAAGACACAGCTTGTGCCTTTGACGTGACAAGTATTGCCTTTCAGCCTCGCATTATGGGCCTTTCATTTTAAGGTGGCTTTAATCATCACGCCAGCGAGAGTGCTCTTTATCTCGTTGTACCTCACTGAAGTTGAGTCACAAAGGGCTAATGCCTGTAAGTAAATAGTTGCTCCTCAATGTAGGCCAGCAAACAAAGCACCCAAATCTTTTCTTTGCTGACTTAGCTTCTCTTATAATTCGCGGTCCCTTTAAAAGCTTTCTCTTTGCTTTCACATGAATTCTCGGGCCTGTTCTCAGCGGCGTGTTGTTCTGTTCTCTGTTATGCTTTCATAGAACGAGTGAATAAAGATTGCCTTGGGAATGAATTAAACATAAGTCATACGTCAGTGGACCATTACATTGAGTGTTCTGGTGGTTCAGCCAGTTTCTACTCAGTGTACTGTACATGTAGCTGCATAAATTTAAATCCCCTTGCATCACTTTCTGGTCGCGATCTTGAGTGCCTTTCCTGAATGCTGATATTAAGAATGAAACACAACAGAGGTTAGGAACTGCCATCTCGAGCTTTGAAATAGCAGATTAAAAAAAAATCTCGAGATGAAAAATAATGCTCAGTGTATTTAAATTATTCCTCGCTGGGTTTTGGCTACACTCTGGTGACTGTACTCTTAAGCGATGCACGATTTTGAGTTTAGTTTACCCATGAGAGAGCGTTTGCTCATGTGCATTTCATTTTTTCCTCTGTTAGCCTTCCAGTGCTATTGTTTGGTCCATAATGCCAGCCGTAATGCTTGTAACTCATGCATAATGGAAGACTGAGCAAGTTCTTGTGCTTGGTCCTCATAGGAGTGATGGGTGAATACGAGCCGAAAATAGAAGTTAATTTCCCAGACAATGTACCCGCCGCGAAAGGATCAACAGTTACGCTGGAATGTTTCGCCCTTGGGAAGTAAGCTGGATTTCCTCAAGCATGTTTTTAATCTTTCACTGTCTTTTCTTTCCTTACAAGGAACATCTGGATTTCTAAGCAATTATGGTTCTTAGAGCATGGCATCAAGCCATGATTGGTCTGAAAGCAGTGTCGTTGGAATGGGTTAAGTCCAGACCAGGGATGTCAAACTCATTTTATATCCTGGGGGCACATACAGCCCACAGGAAATGTGTCAGCATGACTCTTTGGGCTTAAATTGTAAGAAATAGGTGTGTAAAATTATCATAAATTATAAAACAAAGGTTTTGTCAAGAGAATGTCTTTTTTTTCTACTCACCCATTGTAAATAAAGACATTTCTGTAGTAGATAAGATCATTTAATTGTTTATCTGTTACTTCATTACTTTGTTTTAGTATGAATGACAGTGAGGGAGGTCTTCATCAGTGGGAAAAGCTGTAAAATGTATAAAAATAAACTTAAAGGTCCCCAAAAATTATTTTCCAAACCACTCAGTGGGCCAGATTGGAGTCTTTGCTGGGCCGATCTGTTTTGACACCCGTGGTCTTGACCATTTATCAGCAAAACGAAAAAAATAAGTACTGCAGTCCATCTGACGCTTTATTGCTCCAGATTGTTACAGACACCTGCACCTGATTCCCCGCTGAGCTCTTCCTTCGCATGTGTCTCACAGCCCCGTCCCAGAAATCACCTGGAGGAGGGCCAACGGCGTTCCCTTCCCCAGCAAAGTTAAAATGAAGTACTCGAACGCCGTGCTGGAGATTCCCAGCTTTCAGCAGGACGACACGGGCGGTTACGAGTGCGTGGCCGAGAACAAGATGGGGAAGAACACAGTCACCGGTCGGCTGGCTTTTTATGGTACTGCGACTTTTGTTTGAGTTTTGAGACGACGCCACAGACAATTGAGTTAGACAAAATGGGTAAACACTCAATATCTCTGCTTCTTTCTGCAACGTCGACAATTGTCACGTCATTAGACTTTGTAAATGGCAACAATTGTAATGTGATCGTTTAAAAGCTATAAGTAATTTTATAATAGCAAGAGCTCATTGTTATACACGCTGCTTTAATGCACACACAAATCTCTGCCTTCTTCCTGCATTTTAAGCGTTTCACTGCAGCTATTACATTTTGGGTTCTTGGCTTGCTTCAGCCGCTGTGTTTTCCTGTGAATCTGTGAAAGAGGGAAAAATGACACTTGTGAAATTGGAAGTGACAGTATGTACAGTGCCACCGAAGTGAGCTGTGCTTATTATGAGCATTGCACTCATGAAACCCATGAAATTTCCTGAAAGCTGTAAATATATGAGAGACGTAGGGGGGGTTGTGTGCTGGATGGAAAAAACAAGCAGGACCTGACATTTATTATACGCAGAATTAAGGTGACAGTTTGGGGGGGGGTGAGTGCTGGTATCGGGTGCTGTTCGCCGGTCATGAGAGCTTCTTCCTTTGTGGTTCGGAGTTTTAATGTTAATCTTTGGGTTGCCTCGGGCTGCTGACACATTTAAGAGATGTAACTGATAGACTGCATTCAATTTTCTCTCCTCTAGCCTCTTAAAGGAAAACCCATTGACGACCCCCCCCTAATTTGGGCTGCCAATCTGCACACGCTTTCCTTTGAACTTATTTAGATGCAGCTTATTTAATACGATAATGCTCCTTCCTCGAAATCTGCCCTCTGGTTCTTGTCAGATAATTCACTCGAGGATAATTCTGTGTCCTCAGCAAAGCCTCAGTGGGTCCAGACAATGAAAGACACGGCTCTAGCCATTGAGGAGAGACTTTACTGGGAGTGTCGAGCCAACGGCAGGCCCAAACCCTCCTACACGTGGCTGAAGAACGGCCAACAGCTCCTCTCAGAGGTAAATTACCGGCTGTCGTCTGCCACCTACAAGTGTTTCATTTTAAAGACTTAATCTTCAGCTTCAGCTCTTCCTTTCATTTCCGAGAGCCTGGCATAAAACACACTGCTGTTTTCCCGAGTGTAATTCAGAGTGCGATGAGAGGAGAGGGTAAACATCTTACTAAGGTGTGCCAGTGATGAGACATGGATGTAACTGTCTCGTATTCTGCTTTACCTTGGCAGATTACAGAGTCTTAGAAAGTGGATGTGTACGGCTCCCGAGAGATTGCTCTATTTTATCTGAATGGAGTCAGTGCTTGTTTTTCATTATTCATGGTGCATGTTAAAGCTCCTTCATATTGAGGGACAATGGGTTTAATCTTCTGTGAAATATACTGTATATAGCACTACACCTAACTCTAGACCACCAGAGAAATACATGTGGTCTTGCATATTTTGAGATTTTTAAATTTGGCTGACCTCGATATGCCTCTGACACTTAATTTCTTACCTCTTACATGCATTATACTGTAGCAATAACCATCCTGATATTGTTCAAATCTAATGTTTAAATATCCTTCTTTTATTTGAGGTTTATTGTTTTTACTGTTGTACGATTCAGAATATGATTTTCACCACGAAAGTTGCATTTTTATCTAATTTGTTTCATATTTATAGTACAGAATATAGCCAATGATTAAAAAAAACACTAGTAGGTGCTGTACTGTATATGGTTAATACTGAGAAAATAAATTAAAAAGTGCAGATATAATACAAAAAGCTCAAATATTGCATAGACTGGACCAAAAGTGCACAGGATAGGAAAAAAATGAATGTCCCATACTTAGAAAACAAAATTGTGCTTTGTGCTCATAGCGATAAATTATTTTGCAACAGCATCCTGATTTGATCCGCGTCCATCGACAGCACCTCTAAACAAATCCAGCACTTGCCAAGCTTTGCCAGAGCGCGCCGCAGAAAGCAGAAGCTACCTGTAAGTGTAACGCAATAATTGCTTTCTTTCAACCTTTTCTTCACAGGACAGGATCCACGTGGAGGACGGAGTCCTGTCAGTGTCTGCGCTGACCCTGTCTGACGCTGGCATGTACCAGTGTGTGGCCGAGAATAAACACGGTGTCATATATTTTGCTGCTGAACTAATGGTTTTAGGTAGGATGGCATTTATCTCTCTTCTAAATCCTCAAATCTTTGTTGCCAAAGGATCTTAAAGGTCATCTTTCTGTCATTCTTAAAGGTTGTCTGGATTAGCAGATAATGGGGTCAATGTGGATGTTTTTGTGGGGTCAGACACATTTAGATATATATATATTTTTCCCCCCTTTACTTTGAAGTGGGAATGAAGATGGTGTAATAGATGCCAAACTCATAGCTGAATAGTAAACATGAACTTTTACTGCAAAACCAATTAAAAGTTATAACAATATTTTCTGCTCAATTCTTCTTCTTTTATTAATACATAAAACTGGCTAAAAAAAACACAGTTTCAGCCTCAATTTTTATGTCTGTTTGATTCGTCAGTTTTAGAAAACGATGTGTTTCAATTACTGTAAGATTTGATGATTTTCATGGATCAAACTGGTGCTTGAAATGCTCAGTGAGATTTGCTGCAGTCTTGCACTAACGCCAGTTTGCTGTTTCCCACCAGCTTCTCCTCCAGACTTCACAGGGAACCTCCTCAGAGCTTTGCTCAAAGCCAAGACAGGAACTACAGTGACTTTAGAATGTAAACCCCAGGCCTATCCCATCGCTAGCATTTTATGGAAGAAAGGCAACCTGCCAATCCACACAAATGACAGGTAGTAACAGGGTTAACGTTATTCTGAAAAAGTCAATGTACACAGTTTAATAGACTTGTTTTTTTCCGTATATAAGCCAGTTATCTATCCGAGCTACACTCATCTTAAGCCATCTTCGGTCTAATCAATATTCACCACACACACACACATGCTGCCTAACTGGAAGATGTCCATTATGTAGAATGCTGAAAAATCCAGAAGTCAGTGTTTATCTGATGGTAAAATGAGTCTTTGTTCTTGGCAGTCGGATTGTAAACTGCTCTCACTGTTTGTGCACTCCTATAGGATCACACTGTCCCCAGATGGAACGCTGAGGCTTGCCAACGTGAGCAAGTCTGATGCAGGCAGCTATACGTGCTTTGCTAGGAATAGATTTGGCATGTCAAGTACAACTGGAAGGCTCCTTGTTACCGGTAAGCTCTCCTGTTAAATAGCAGATTGTTTATGCGCTCCACTTAGTAAGCAGAATTTTATGCAGACTATGGATTAACACACGAGAGCTAGCGTACCGCAAGGACCCGGGTCAATAACTTGTAGTTAACTTAAAAAAAATAAATAAATAAACTTTGAAGTTTTGTGCTGAGGTGTGTGTCTATGCTTTGTAAGGTCTCTAATCTTGCGATTAAGTAGACTAAATATTTCAGATAATCATTTGATTGTTTTGTTTTTATTTAAAGGGAGGTAATAAAAACAAAAAAAAACTTTACGCACGCATTATTGAGTCGTTTTGTCCAGACGCATTTTGCAGCGGCTGCAGTAATGTGCTTGGAAGGCGTTTGACGAAACACTCGATCATTGTTTTCCTCAAAGCAGTTGAGGCAACCAATTTAGTGCAATAAATGAAAGTGCCCTGAGTGGAAGCGGTGAGCACATTAGTGAGGTGGTGTTACAGATGCTGTTATTGTTGAGCGTGTTGTTGTTTTGTTCATTGGAGTTGAATGTTCTGTGAGTTTCTTATTGGTTTTTATTAATGTGCTGAATGATATTGTCTGCCGCTGTAACTGCCAAGGCCAGTTATCTTTTTTTAAATTACCGGAGTATTTTTTCACAGCCGTAAAGCATTCGGAGGCACAGAGCCATGACCCACACATTGATTATTAGTAGCTTGAGAACTGAGGGGACACTTTTTTTTATCCCTTGACAGCTTCTCCAAGGTAAGATGTGAGAGTACAAATCCACTTGCTTTGTGTTGTATCTTCTTGATTTGATTCCTGCCGTTCATTATCTTGACTTTTTGAAGCATGGAAGGCCAAATGATTGCTATAGCAGACTTTAAAGCAGCGCTCTTCATTTTTTTTTTTTTTTTGTTGTTGTACTGGTTGTGCAGAGCAGCTCATTACATGAAGTTTTATCTGATCCATGGTGTATTGTAATTGCTATCAGGATTTCTGAAGATTATGTGAGCCGTTTTAGTGGTGGCAAGGCTGCATGTTATCACACATTATTTGACTGAGTTTTTCATGAGACCTTCCTTTATATACACAGGACTGCTCTGCCTGTGACTCACTGTATTGCGGAGTATGATTTTTGTGTCTCGGGAAGTGTTGTGTCACTACTCTGCTCCTATTTCCTGAAAATCAACACAAGGGCTGCTCATCTGCTGGAAGTGAAAAGTCACCCTCCCCTTTAGAAATGGCTGGCTCTCACATTTTTATTTTTCCTGGGTAGATCCAACCAGAATCATCCAGGGGCCAGTGGACACAGAGATCATTGTGGGCGAGAGCATTGTGTTACCCTGCCAGGTCACCAGCGATCCCGTCCTTGATGTTTCTTTCTCCTGGGCCTTCAATGGACAGCTCATCGCCAAGGGAGACAGTCACTTTGAATTTGTGGGTGGGGTGAGTGACCCACAGCCGTAGTTTTTTTTGTTTTTGTTTTTTCTTATGTGCGAATGGGCACTTGGCACCTCTCCCCATCTTGCTTCACTTCATCCCTGCCATTAGTTTAAAGCGACAGCTTGTGGTTTGACACCCTGGTATTTCTTGGAGAGACAGAGCATGGCAAGTTTTGCTGCACTTGCTGTGATACCATCCTTTTTCTTTTGCTATTTTAAATTTCTCTCTGGTGGCAAAGAAGGCTGGGGAAAAGTCTTTGGAATGAAGCGTTATTAGATCATTTAAGACCTCTTAGCTTCTAATTGTATTCTTGTGAATGGAAACACGGCAGCCGTCGTGTCAAAATACACTTCCTACATAGAAATCATCATGTAGGTAATGCGCTAGTTGCTCAGCCATTGTGACAGGTTGTCTTCTATTTGAGCACACTTCTCTTACTCTTGCTCAGTCTTCTGAAGTCATCTATTTTTTAATATGTTGGCTGGTCTCTTCAAATTCTGCTTTGACATGGCCTGCTGCACAGCCTCTTCATAACAGGAAGAAATACGTATTATTAGAGGTGCCTTGTAAAGGAATCAAAGCATGGCAGAGACCCAAATGACAAAACACTTTGAGAACATCCTCGCACCCTTTGAGATTAACCATTCTTCTTGGGTGTGTGTGTGTATGCTTTTGACTGACAATGTTCTTATCTGAAAAGAGACTCCTTCCCCAGAAATGCTCAAATGTCCCCAGTCCAAAGAGATTATCAACTTAACTTTGCTGCTTCAGGGAATTTAATTTCCATAATTAAACCACATTGGCTGTGCTGCCACGTTTTCCTGCCAAAGCCAAGAGAACGATTTCACCACTAATTTACCATTTTCTGCTTACGGGTGTCCTCTTAGATGAGAGCCTTTTCTTTTCTTTTTTTTTTGTTTTCTTCTCCAAATGAGCAAAAGCTGCCTGCTGTACTCAGCAGTAAAAGCTTATTTATGTACTTGCTTGCAACAGGTCTTGAAGGTCACAGCACTGACCTCTGCAAAAGGCGGGTAAAGCAGTCGAGACCTTGTCAGACACAAAAACTCAATTTACTCTCTGTTGTTTTTGTGAATTTTGGCCTTTTTCTTTTTCATTCGAGCTCATGTTGAACAGCTGTTTGTGTCCTGATACTGTATATACACAGAATTTCTCCCAGAAACACTGTGCAGCCACTTTTCCTCAGCAATTTCCGAGCTAAGTACTGTAACTAAAGGATATGCAAACGGTTTTTAGAGCTGCTATTTACTGTGTCTTTATATATGCTTTGCTACCTTTTTTAATAAGCTGTCACGAGGTCCATTATCTTTCATGCTACATAAAGCTCTCTTTCCTCCTTTGATAGAGAACAGCAGGAGATCTTATGATCAGGAACATTCAGCTTTACCATGCTGGCAAATACATCTGTGTGGTGGACACGGACGTGGAGAGTCTATCAGCCGTGGCTGTATTGATTGTGAAAGGTAAGAAAAGCTCATCTCTGCTCTGCAGTTACCAATTAAAATAGGGCTTACAGCCAGGGATGTTTAATGGGTAAAAAAAAAAGGGAGAGAGAGAAATTAAAAAAAGTAGACTCAACGTAAAGTGGATGATGGATGCAGCCTCGGTAAAAAGAAGTCAGTAGTCTTTAAGTGTTACTGAGCAGAGCAGTGTTAAAGAGATTTCAGAGAGATTACATCGCTATGCTTTGCTGAGAATTAAAATAAAAAATCTTTTGAGGCGTGCAGTTTTCGATAGGGTTTTTAAACTCAAATAGGTTTGTTTTAGATTGAGATTGCAGTGCAACCAAAGTGCCCATATTCTCATCAGAATCACCCTGGATATCATCAGAGTGTTTATTTCTACTACAGGGCGCTTCATTACATCAAACAGAGGAAGCCGCTTTCCTTTTCTCTTGCACTCAGAGATGTTTTTGGAAGAAAACTTCACAAAACTGTGTGAAATTCTAAGAGTACGAGCCATGCATTTTTTAGGATGTGTTCCTTTTTCTCCCTCTCCCTGTCTTTTAATGACCAGTTTTCAATATTGTTGCAGTGTACTTGACAGCAGAATGCTTACATGCCTGTCTGCGCTCACTCATGCAGTATGTATAGCTCCTGAGAGACATTATTGTCGAGAGCTACATTTGGCAGAACAAAATAACTTTTGTTATTTATTTCAGGGAGGGGTGTGTTTGTGTTGCTCGTGGAATTGGAGGAGGGATGTTTCGGGGTGGAATCAATACACCAAATAGCCCAGCAAATTGACACCACCCAAATATGCTAAATGTCAGATGAGGTGAGGGATGATTTTAGTGTCAGGATTTGAAAAGGTTGAATCCATAGCTTTATCTTGCAAGGATAACAAGTTGCTATTTAAGTTGACATGCAGAAGCTCTTCTTAATAAGCATTTCTTTACGAATGACTGCGGACAAAGAAAATAGGAAGTAATGCTGTTTATCCAGCTGGAGCAATATGAAGTCCAGGGAAATGGATTGGCCTCCTGACTGGAGACAAGCTTGAGTGTGACTCAAGATTGTGCATTATTTACACTTCCTGCTCGCGGCAGCTGTCACAGATGTCTCAAAGTTTGGATCGAATAGCTTCAAATTCTGTGTGGAAAACACCACATAAACCATTCAGCAAGCAAATGTTGACATCCCAAAATACAAAATATTAACGCAACACGTGGAGTAGAAACCAACAGATAAGAGCCAGTTTTCAAATGCACCTTTTACATGGGTGAAAGCAGCAATGCAGTGATGATAAAATAGTCAATTTAAGAAGAATATCAAAACTAACAAATGAAAAACAGTGGCTCGACAGAAAAATGGATTAATGACAGTTTTACTATCAAAGCACCAACGTGTAAGCAGCAGTTTGCATATAAAGTAGATGTATTTGAAGTCATTTTCATGGTAACATGGGGCATACATTCATACAGGTAAGACTCACCAGATATCTCATGATACAATATTATCACAACACTTAATGCACAATCAAATATTATTATTGCAGTATGAGCATTGCAATAACATATATTGTGAGTTATCAACATTTTTTTGAACTGCAAATGATGTCCTCAAAGTTAAACTTTGTCAATATCTGTTTTTCCAAGAAGATAAAGTTATCGCGCTGCAATTTTGTTTTTGGTTTTGGGTTGTTTTTTTTTAAGGCAAAATTAGATCAAGCATACCAATCAAAGTACAACATTCAACTCTTTGACAGAAACTCATTCAGACTGATGGCAACATGTTACCAATAAGACAGAAAACCTTCGACATTCTCTCTGAGAGTGGTTGCAGTCACGCCAAATCAGACTGCAACTGTTTGCAGAAAGGTTACCTCCTATCAGGCAACCTGTGCAATCACTTTGCAATCAAAATGTGTAGTGAGTGTGCAACATTGCTCTGTGCAACCATTTAGTCACCGGAAGCTGAATGTGAAGAAAATTCAAAACAAACAGCTGGCAGCTGCTTTTGTTAATTTTTAGATGTAAGCATGACTAACATTAACTCAAGATTTTAGTGCATGAAATTAGCCCTTTTGTATATAGTATTCACAGAATATTTAGATTTATGTAATAAAATATTGATATTTAGTGTCCCTGTATCGATAGAGTATCATAATACATGATACTATGCTAGAGAATATAGGATAACATGCCTTTCTGGATGTCCTGCAGTTTAGGTGTTTGTCTTCAAACTGTTGTAGCTTGTAGCTACGTGTTGATAAATGAAAAGAGGTCATTTGGAAGGAAAGGAAATGTAGCTCGCTGGTGTAAGTATTTACAGTTTGATCAAATCTAATAAGAACTTTAGAGCGGAGGCTCAGATGAAAGTGGAAGATAGTGACAGGACTAAACCCTGCTGATGGTGGAGCAGAGTAATCAGATGAGTTCAGTTAAGATACCCTGGACAACTTGTGGAAATGGAAGAAGCATTTGTGATAGACAGGCTGCTGACAGGCAGAGTGAGAACAGTGTCTCCGGGCTAATTGGGCAAAAGTAGTGAGTTGAAATTGAGAAAGAGCAGATTTTGACAGCGTGGGAAAATGAAAGTGACAAAAAAAAAATAGTAGTAATAGTCCAAATCAGTGAGGAGGAGCAGAGGCTCCCTTATTGAACTTATAAAAAAAGATTATTTTGCATTACATTTGAAATGTAGCACAGTTCTTTTTTTTTTTTAATCATTCAAAGAGGCAATTAAAGAATAAGAACCTCAATTAACCAATTATTTAAATAAAATTCACAACTAAATGCATTGTCTGCCACCTCTCATCTTCCCAGAGAAATTGTCCTTGTCTGTCCCTGATTTTAATTGAACTAATTTGTCTGAAGACACTGTCCCATGTTGTGAGCAATATTTAAAGCATCGGGGTAGACTGAATCTGCTGTTTGGTTTTGTTTTTATGTTTTTTTAAAGAGTTTTTTCTTCCAATTTAAATTCACTCCCCTGTCTTTTGCGAAGGATGCCGAAATGTTAGAGATAAATAGCTCAAAACCTTGACAAATAAGATCAAACCATTCTGCGTGGCTGTATAATTTAAGAGGAAGGTGAGGAAACATGAAAGCGTAGCCAGCTTCCCCCAGTGGCTGCATTTGCATGTTCTTTAAAAAAAAAAAAGAAAAATCTATTTTAATGTTAAGACAAACAACAGCAAGACGTCTCCTTTCACCGGGATTCTGCAGCAGCACGCATGGCCGTTTACGATCGTGGTAACAGTGATCGTTGGCATTACTGGCATCAAACATATTGTTACAATCATGTATATTAGTCGGCTCGATAATTTTGCAGGGTGTTATTTACAATCGGGTTTCGCTCCTTTCCTCTCGCAGCGCTGAAGGTCAATGATAATCGCTCCTGACACAAAGACTCTTGAGTGATCATCTGGGTTCTTGTTTTTCACAATGGGTGTGGAAAAAAAACCCCGTTTTAGATGCCTCACAAACACTCCACTGGGTGGTGATGGTGGCTCTGGAGAAGGTCACAATATAAGGATAATATCACAGTCATTAGCATTCGAACCACTTGGGGAACACTTGTGCTTGTTTGACAGCTGCACCACCACCATCATCATCATTATCCCGAGAGATAGTTTTTAGGGAAATACAACTCATGACAGTCAATGTAACACTTCAAAACGATGTGTTTTCACACTGTTATTTCAACCCGCTTATGATATGCTCTTGTTTAGTTCTGGCACGTGTTGCAGCACATTTTGAGAATTTGGGAAATATTTGGTTGATATCGGAATAATATTGCCAGTGTCAATAAATACAGCCGGTTATTAATTTTCCCTCAGACAAGTTCACAATGAAAGCTCAGATAGTCTGTCCATATTAATAACAGATTATTTGAACACCCTCGAGACACTGACAGGAGCCTCTTGCCTCAGCCAATGAAATGTAATTAAGAGGATAAGGAATTGATCTTTGATTGTGTGTCCTATTAATATGTATTAATGAGGCCAGTGTATTAAAGTTGCTTTTTTTTCATCAATAGCCACTAATGAGTTTTACAGAGATCAATATCTCTAAAGCCACGGTTTTAAGGCCAAATGTGTGAGGGCAGTAACGTCCAAGGCTTCAGTAAACAAAAGGATGTCGCTCAGCAGTTACTTGCTCAGCTTAATCCAATATATCCTTGCATACATAGACATATACATACATGCTGCAGGAGATATGACAACAAAAGGATTTGTGCTTCCAGACAATTGATTGTTTACTAAAATAATCATGCTACACTTTAATAATTAGTATATTTTGCTTCAGATTAGAAACCACTTCAGAGCTGGTGGGGAGTGCGAGCAGAGCAAGGGGCGTTATTATTCTGCGGTCTATCTCACAGCTCTCTAGTGGTCTATTATTTCTGATGAGCTGACACCTTCATTAGAATAGGAACCCGCAGATGAAACTAAAGTAAAACATCACACCGCTTAATTGGTGGGATAATAAAAATAAATGATAAAACTCTGTTTCCTTGGGGCTGTGAGGCCCCTTTTTCATCTTTTACCTTTTAATTTGACTCCCTGCATCCACTTAGGTCTGCTGTTTCATCGATCAATTACCGGGAGGATTACGGGGAAAGGGGAGGATTACAAGTTGGGTGAATATTGGAGAATAAATCTTGAATTAACTTTTAATACTTTGTGAAGGGCATTACATCTTCTCAGCTGAAAGCTTTTTTCAGAATGTTCTCTCGCTGATGTTGATTGAAAGATATGAAGGCTATATAGCGATATCATTTTGGCCGAGGTGTGTGTGTGTGTGTGCTTTTCCTTTATATGCCACTAAATGTCATGTTTTCCTTGCAAAACGTGCGAGTATACCCATTTCCGTCCACAGTCTGTAGCGTCGTCTGTGCCTCTGCATGTGCGAATACCTCACAATATCTGTTCTTGTGATTGAGCCAGGCCCTCCCAGCCCTCCAGACTCAGTGACGGTGGAGGAGGTGACAGACAGTACAGCCCAGCTGGCGTGGAGCCCCGGCAGAGACAACGGCAGCCCCATCACCAATTACCTCATTCAAACCCGAACTCCCTTCACTGTGGGCTGGCAGAGGGTTAACACAGGTGACACACTACTTGACGATAAATTTTCATCTTATAGCACATGAGATATTATTCACATAATTCACAGATGTCCACAGGGAAATGCTGTTATTTCTCTTCCCCTCTTGGCAGGTGGGTCAGAGTATGGGGTCAGCTAGAAAAAAGGGTAGAGATGGTGCAGATTCATGTTCTTACTCAAGACAGTGAAAGGTCCTTCTTGCTGCTGTACTGTGCAAAAGTGTTGAGCGATCACTGATTCTTTCATATGTTGTTGAGAAAATTGGAAACATATATGAAAATATAAGTGTCATGTTTCGGCTGTGTGCAGGCAGGAGAAGGACCCAAACGCAAAACTCACAACACAATAATTAAACCCAAAAAGCTGCTTTATTGCAGAATGGCACAAAAAATATAACAAAACTAAACAGGCACATGGATAACTAACACACAGGAAAACACAGCCATGAGGGAGACCAGGACACTGACAAAGAGAAACACAGGGCTTAAATATACTGAGGGATAACGAGGGAATGAGACACAGAAGGAGAGCACAGCTGGGAGTAATCAGGCTGGACGAGACAAGGGAAGCAAAACTAGAAACACTGACATGAGACACGGACCTTCAAAGTAAAACAGGAAACACACTGACTGAACTCTAGACATGTAAACTTAACAGCAACTGGGGAGACAGAACATAGGAACCTGAAACATGGCACAGTAGACACAACATGGAACACAGGGAAGCCATATTACAAAACCTAAGAAATAAACTATGATAACCATAACTGAAACCTAGGGAAATAACAAACACAGTACAACAAAGGACTCAAAACATAAACCATAATATAAAAACACAAGAACTCAAAAAGCTGGGCCAGAACGACCCAGAACCGTGACAATAAGACAGTTTGTACAATTCTAATGAGCTTAAAAGTTGATATCTGGTATGATCGCCTCTCGTAGGCAAACCTTCTTGTCATTTCTTTAAGTAGTCTCCAGGAATAGCTCTTCCGGCTTCTTGAAGGACATTCAAAGCTCTTCTTTGCATGTTAGATACCTTAAGATGATCCCACACTTGCTTCACTGTTGGGGTTCTGAGGAGACCAGTCCATAAATTATATTGTTTCATTGTGTGTTTTTCAATCCAGATATGATTTTTCCTGCAATGGCAACTGCAAAAAGCCAATCAGCTTTCCAAGTGGTATTACATGGTGACTCAAAATTTTACTTTTCTCTGTTCATAATTCAATAAATTTTTGACAAGATCACTGGCTAAAATAAAGCCCCAAACCGTGACAGAGCCTCTGCTGTGTTTTGCAGATGGCTATAGACACTCACTGTTGACCTCCTTCTTACCTATCGATGACAATTTGAACCTAAAATGTCAAATTTGGACCTGCAGAGTCTCAATAAGACCTGTAGGGACGCCTCCAGAATTTTTTCATAGGAGTGGCCATATGGGACCCCTTAAAAATATTGGGGTGGCGCACCAAAAACAACATTTCCAGTTTTATTATGCTGTTGTCAAATATAGAGAAAAGAAGAATTATATGCCTGGTTAGTTTCCTGCTGTTAAAGTTGATATCACTGAAAATAGGTACATA